ATACTCAAAAGAAATACAGTAATTGTTCAAGTGGCATGGATGAGACTATAACAGTTACGGACGAAAATGATAACAGTTCAAGCTCTCGAACAGCATCAAGTCCCTACACAGCTCCGAATCTAGTCAACAACTTCCTCCAATACGAGCCAGAGAACCCGAAACCAAACGTCACGTGTTGAATCATGATGTAAAAAACTAGGATTACCGTCATAACAACCCGGAATGACACTGGATAGACATTGTTGGGCCCAGAATATCCCAGCGTGGAGATCGCTGGAGAATCCCAAGGATAGCGTTGCAAAGCGACATCGGAACCCGGACCGGTAGGCCGGCAGTCATCCTGGGGTAGCGGAAACCAACTGCTAAGCTCAGGAACTGCTTGTTGATATTTATGGATCTGGGGGCCCAGAAAACAACCACCAACCGATCCCACTGAGTATTGTTCGATGATAGGCAGACCAGCTGTTTCAAGAGAGGCACCTGTGTCGCAGTTGATGCGGAACACACAGGAGAGATCTCCTGGCTGAACCCAAAGTAGACTGAAGAGCAAGATGTTGACGATTATGTACATCACATTCAGAGCCCAGTTCCTGAGTACACTCCTTCTGAAAGCTCCTCCATATGAGGAAACGTAGGCATGTGTGCTGAGTGTCGTAAGCAAGAGGATAACTTGGACGGGCATATCGTAATTGTCCCCTTTTTTCGCCCACTCTTGTGGCGGCACTTGGAGGTCGAGAGTGTTAACACGGCTATACCACTCACTGTTAGAAGGTGACCACAGGAAAGCAAGTGCCACAATTTGGGTGAGGAAAAAAGTGATGATAGGGACAGTACACATCAGGATGGTTCTCCAACCGAGGAGAGATCCACTAGGGCGATAGTCGCCGAGTTTTGCTGCCGGACCCGAGAGAGTCATCGTCCACACCATGATGACACTGATGAGGACATCTTGGGATATCCAGAACCATTCCCCTGGCACTTGATTCCCTATGATAGTACCGACAATTCGAGAAGTAGTGAGAATGAACGCATATACGATGAAGAAAGAGTAAGTCGCGATGTTGGTGGCAAGACACGCACGACCTTCACGAATCATATCAACAACTGTGAAAAGGGAGCGACCATCACGACCTGAACTGAATGGTGATACCATAGATGCCTCCGCCTCAGATAAAGCCATGCCAGCATGAGCAGCACGGAGAGCCCCACAGTCGTTACCACCATCACCGCACATACCAACAACCAGCTTACGAGATTGGAGATACTTCGTCACGTTAACCTTGTCCTCAGGCTTCATACGGGCGAACACCAAAATATCTTTCCAAAGCTTATCGAGCTCATCAGAGTTCCTAGCCAAATACTTCCATGCAGATCCAGTTACTGCCAGTTGGTCTACCCCGGCCTCCACATCACAGCAGGGCTCGTTCGTCTCAGTGTCAACCCAAAGGAGCTCATCCATCTCCTCATCATAGTCTCCTATTAAAAGTCGTCCATTTTTGCTTTTCCCAATTATACCACATTCCTTGGCAATAGCGATACCAGTGAAGACATTATCGCCAGTGCACATAACGTTGCGAATATTGCCGGCGGTCAAGGCCTCAATGGCAGCTGGGGAGTCGGGCTTCATCTCATTGCGGAAGAGAAGCAGTCCGCACATGGAAAGGTCGAATTCAAAAGAGTCCCTCTTGGCCGCTGTGATTTGCTCGTCCGTGAAAGAGCCGTCCAAAGTCTTAGTCGCCATTGCCAAGGTGTAGAAGTTATCAGAAGCACATCCCTCAGAGACTTCAACATAGTCCTTGGGGAGTGTGTCGGGTAACGACAAGGCGACCACACGTTCATACGAGCCCTTTATGACGACAATAACCTCATCCGTTGACAGATCTCTGACGACAATCCCGGATGTCATTCTGTTGTGGTCGAACTCAAGTTTCTTCAAGACCTTGAGTTTATGCTCCCCATTCGGTGAAGTTATGATATCGTCTGAGCTCTCCGGCTTCGGTAGAGACCATCCAGTCATAGTGAGCATCGACACTTCAACGTGGTTACCAACGAATGTTCCATCACGGAGAGTAGTCACAGTGTGGCAGCAAGCGAGGCCGTATTGCATCTTCAGAGGAATGCGCTCAGAAATCACACGTTTGTTTCTCTCATCAAGAGGAGGCAAATCCGGCTCAAACTGCACCTTGCTGAGGAAGGTTCTACTCGAAGGGTCCACGGCCACCACCGCCGCGAAGTCCATACCGTCCTTCGTGATGGTGCCGGTCTTGTCGAACACCATCGTTGAGATCTTGCCAGCAACAGGAATCCTCCCTGGTTGGAGACATGATATCTGATGATGCTTGTCGAGTCTGAAGGCCGCCACTGATTGGCCCATGACGATAGAGACGGGCAACATGGGGTTCATCGTCTGAGCAATAGCACTCAGAATTTCCAATACGGTGACCACCCAGGAACCCAGACTTGTCGTGGTCATGAACAGAATGATGATGAGTACAGCATACAGAGCTAGCATACCGTAGATAATTGGAAGCTGATCAGTGTATTTGAACCTAGGAAAGAATACCAATGAGAATGAACAAAACCATTTTAGCTATCATTAGTTCCATGACAATGCACACTCGGCATTCCAAAACGTATGTGCCCGAAGACACTGAGATACGCTCAAAGCAGTTGACTATGTCCTATCCTGTATAGTCCTATATATAGCACAAGCGTTTGACACAGGAAAGTCAGCTCGGTAGAGTCTACCTGACAGACTGTGGGGAAAGTACCATACGAATGAGTTGTCCCTTCGTCGTGAGAGCTCCGACACTGGTTGCCAGCAAAATGGCACGACCATCGTGGGGGCCAGTTGACTGCATACACATAGTGCCTATGAGAAATTCCAGACGCATCACATGGAGAGAGCCTCTGAGATCTCACCTGCATATGCCTTGTTCTTCTTGGTGATTTCAGCATCTTCAATGTCATCCACAGAGAATTTCTGTATGGGCATGGGCTCACCAGTGAGCATGGACTCATTGACGATTATAGAACCCTCCACGACCACTCCGTCACAAGGGAGAGGTTCACGTTCCTCCACTTTAAGTAAGTCGCCGAGGACCACACCATGGGAGCCAATTTCAATCCACTTGCCTGATCTCAGAACTTGCACCCTAGTCTCTAACTTCGCCAAGGTAGCGATCTTCTTCTGGCCCCTCCTCACGATGAACAAGGCTCGATAGATCCCCGCAATCAGAGTCATGCCGAGCCATATTATTCCAATATTCCACGTCGTATACACGATGTATGTCCAGGCCGCAATAGACTGTAGTATGTAGAGAACATCGCTGAACTCCGAAGCCAGACTCTCAATGATCCCGGGGACTCGCACTCTGATCGCGTTCGGACCCGTTTCCTCCAACTCAAGTGTGGCCTCCTCGTGACTTAAACCACCAGTTCTCAGCCGGTTATGCATCTCAGAAGCTGTCCATTCTCCCATGCCAACAGGACGGAACCGACCAACGTTAGTATCAAATACATATCTAACGCACATATACTCGTAACACTTAACGCCGAGCATTTTATCATATTCAACTTCAACCATCGTCTTGCGGGTGGCGCTCCTGAAGCGTGCACGTAGTCTTTCCCAAAGGGCCGATATGTGACGATTGAAGACCGGCACGTCCTCATCAGAAGCCATTCCTGGATCTATCATATCCTTAGAGTCCTCCGCGAGAGGTACAGCCTCCTCAATAACCACATTCGTAGCCTCATTGAGATGTGGCTCTGGCAACATGAACAGCGTAACGAGAGAGTGATAGAATTTAGATAGCACGGCAGCCAGTACGTGAAAAACGACCATTGAGTATATTGCTGGTATAACAACTCCGTTCCAGTCAGTTTGCCAGTCTGAGAGGAGTTCAGTGAAATACGAAAATGAGACGAAGATGATGATGCAAAGGTATGCTAGCATAAGGAGAAGAAGCCAAGCATAGAGAATGATGGTTCCCATCATGGTTTTCTTGTAGCCAGTCTGGATGAAGAACCTCTCAACTTCGTCGGGGCTCTCAAATGATAGACGACGGCAAGCGGACGACTTAGACTTGATGGATCGAGGGGCTTGAACAGAGCGATAGATCAGAAATATCGCAGATATGAGGAGCAGACCGCAAAGGCCACAAGTCCAAACTATGGCAGCGATT